GTACGCACCACGCCCGGCTCTTCAGCAGCATCCTACTCCGGATTACGTACAGCAGACCGGACAGCAGCGGAGTGTAGTGCCATCCCAGCTTCCAACGCCGGCACCGACTCCTACAGCGCAGATGTATACACCGGCTCAGTCCATCCATCAGTACTCCCCACAATTAGGTTCTTACCAGCCGACGGGCCATCCATCTATAGTACCGACGCAGTACCTCCAGCCACGCCCGGCACCCACGGCGCCAGCGCTCAAGATCAAGCAGCATAGTTTTCCTACTGCGCCTCGGTCGCACCCCGCGAAGTCTGGAACTACCTCCAACCGTCGTCCCAACGCTCAGCCTGAGCTTTCGACTCTTACTAGACCTGCCGGAATCTCCAAGTCCGTTCTCCAACCCCTCGCAACTACTGCCACACCGGATTGGACCGACACAGCTCAGCTCGCAGCTAGTATGCCGGCTTTCAAAAGTCTCCCGAAAGCAGAGAAGGTAGCCAAAATTCTGGAGATCAACAGAGCTATAAAAGCCAAGAACCCTACTGCGCTCACGGCGATGGATCAGTTCCTCCTTGACCATGGTGTCGCTAAAGAAGACGTCACTGCAGTGGGAGTAGTAGGGCCCGATGGTAACATAGTGAAGCCACCAGGTCAACAAGCGATAACCGTTCCGGCGCCCGGCTATCCGACTCATCCGGGTGTGCATGCGATTCCATCGGGTATGCCAGGCTTCGCGAATCATCCAGGCTATTCGAACATTACGAGTTCGTTCCCTCGGTCGTCTTTTGAGTCACCGGCGAAATCTACACCGCCTGGTAAGCGAGGGAGGAAGAAGAAGGAGAAGAAGTGAGACAAGTTGGAACAGTGCGCGAGCTGAAGTGGCTATTAAGATACTGATGTTTGTTCCCTAAATCACTTCATCACTTGATCGGAGCCTACGTAGTGCTTGGTTTGATGGTAGTACGTTTCCGGACTGTTATGTGCGAATTCATACTGGAAGGCTGTTGGCCTGGGCAAGCTTTCACGCTTCAACGCAAAGTATAGCTCAACAAGGTTGATGAAGCAAATTGCAAGATATATTAGTGACTGTGATATTGAACGTGACTATGTGTGAGCCGCATCTATCTAGCATAAGCCCTCAACTCAGGCTCAGCGTACATCTTTTGTGGGTACGTCAACAGCAGTACACCAGCCACAGGAATGAGCCCTTCAGTAGCCAACACATCATCAAGGTCAAGACCCTGAGCGGCGTAGGTACTGCAAACGCTCTTGACATCAATGCGATCCACATTACCCGGTCCATCGTGCGTAAGCGCATCAACGATAAGCGCGTAGGTCAGAGGGTTGAATAGAACGCCGGCATGACCGTAGAGAGAGCCACCTAGCTGCCCAAAGCACACTTTCTGTACCTCGTTGTTCGAGACGCCAACATTGCGCGCGTCTTTGATGAAAGCGGAGGCGATGGTGCCTTGTTGAGGCTCGACAACCTCGTCAAAGAGGCCAGAGTAGAAGGTTGTTGTGGGTACGTATGCGCTGTCGCCTCCGTCGCGCCTGAGCGACGCAACAAAATCGGAGGTAGCCTCTTGCTGGACAACAGAGGGGTCACAGGGAAGGAGCGTGATGTCGCTGTTCGGTGTCAAGCAGATCGCGTTCGCGATGACAGTGCCCTTGAAGTCTGGAGACACGGGAAGGAAGTCCTTGACAACCTTGCGGGTCGATGGCCAGTACTTCAACACCCACTGTGTGTCTAGACCACCCTGGGACCAAGATATGACGGCGATGTTTTCCTTGTTCGTGCGTGAGACGGCACTGATGTAGTTGATGGCGTAGGCAATGTATTCAGAGTTGGTCTGCGCGTCTGCAAGCATAGCGCCGGGGATGTTGAGCCATACAGGGTCAGCATAGCTCTTGCCATTCAACAACTTCCTGAGGTTGTTGGCGAAGTTTGTGCCTCCATAAGCACCAGTTCCGGGTACAAAGATCACTGGGCGTTTCGCGCCGTAGGTGAAGCTAGGTGGGATGAAGAGTGCTTTTCGGAGCGCAGATTCGGAGAGTGTGTAATGTGCATCAGCAGCATCCTTCTTGGGGTAGATACCGACGGTGGCTGGGTTGTTGTTGTTGATGCTGTTCTCGCCGAAAGGCAGACCACCGGTGAAAGCGGCCTTTAGCGTGTCGTCAAGGATAAGGCCACCGGCTATCTGGGTCGCTACTGCGGCGAAAAAGTCCGTTCGCGTGGTCGGGCTCGCCCAGATTTGGGAGTGCCTTGCGACTGCCTCTTCGATGTTCGTTGGTCGCGAAGTAGGCTGAAGTTGCTGAAGGATGTCGAGCACCTTTGGGGCATCGCCGTCCTTGACTGCTTGGTCGCATTGGCCGAGAAGGCCACCAACGAGGGAGGTCAAACCAGATGTGAGTTTACTGAGCAGTTGACGTTCATCCAGACCCTGGACTGCGTCGACGGCCGGTGCTGGTGCTGCAATCGGTGCAGGTGCCGCAGCTGGAGATGGTGCGGGAGCTGCGAGCGACGCAGGGAGAACGCTCAGAAGAGCTAGCGATTGGATGGAGAGACGCATGTTGACAATTGCTGGACCTTGGTACAAGAAGCAAGCACGACCAAAAGATGAGGAGATGCAGGGCCCTGGTCGATCAAGATAAGCAAGCATACGACCCTTCTTTAACCATTCTTACACCACGAGTCGTGAAGCTCAAGATCGTCATCCTGCCCAAACGTTGCATCGCAGTCTACCACGAAATGTTTACATTATCACCGCTCTAGCGTCGCCGACCAGGTGGAACAGTCGCGGAAGCGCATCTTGGTATATATCGATCTGCATAGGCCTTGTAGATCATGCACTACGTAAGTCATTAGCGTACGGGACGGGCTGTGATCATGATCTCTCCCCTGAGTAAATCAAGAGCTGCTTTACTAGATCCGGTTCGAAGACTATTGAATGCGGCAGTTGAGCGCCACTGACATCGTGAACCCACTTTCCGCTTGGGCTCGGATTGACGCATGGCTCTGGCGCATTCGGCATTCGATCCACGCGAACGAACCTTCTGCACGTGTTAGAGATGCATTGTAGTGATGGTGGTTGAGCAAGGAATGCATGAACATCGGCCGGTGAAGAGTGCGCGGAGAGAAGAGGAGTTGCGTCCACAGCCAAATAAACGGACTGAGTTGTGAAGATGCGATTGGCCGAGTCTTGCCAGCACACCTGGGCAACCACCTGGGCAGTCTCTTAACCTGACCACGCTCGACCTCGGCTCAGCATCTCGCCAAGATATCGGCGATGAAGTTTGCGCGCTGTGGAGACACATGCAAGTCTTCTCAAGGACGAGGAATTCTGTCCGCCAGATGGGTCTTTTTGACGTTGATAAAATGTCCGTGGGCCCACACTCCGCACACAAGCGCGGCCCAAACACCCGGTCAGCCCTGCGGAAATTATCCCCGTACTTCTTCTTTTTCAACCCGCACAATATCTCTTTCCGGTTCCTGAACCACTGGATGTATGTTTCAGGCTGATGCTAGCGTTCTAAACAGGAACAAACTTGCTGTTCGTTCCCAAGACTTCTAGTCCCAGCTAATCTGTGGCTAGTAGCACCACTACTACTGTGTCGACATCTCGAAACTTACTGAACCGCAAACTACCACAACTACCCCGCTACAAATCCAAGCATCTGGTCTCGACTCTCTTACCTTTTCTCTTTCCCCCTCACTTCTGCGTGTTCCATGGTGACTGATTTGACGAGCTGCTCGGAGTTGTTGAAGCCGTGGGCTGTCACTGAGTTCCCTCGGCTCGTCTGGGTGTGTATACTAGCAATGTCGCAACAAGAGTTTATTTGAAGGTGTCTGTATGGTCAATTGTGTAGGATTATGCCGTGCCTGCAGTGAGAAGGGCCTCGGGACCTCGGAAGTCGAACGGCCGTGAGCTCCATCAAAGTCTTGGATAGACACATAATAGCAGCTTATGCCCTCCATTCAAAGACGCAGGTCCAGCGTACAAGAACCATCAGCCAAGACATCAGAGAGGATTCTTGTTGGATCATGCAGCATAGCAATCTGCTCATCCTGCGATGCGGAGAATATTCTGTATTGGCGCTAAGAACGCGTGACGTCATATAAAACCAGGCATGTTGGTAGCGTGATTCACAGCCGTCCCGGGACGCACCCGCGCGTGGACGCGACATCTACTTCAGCATCCCATCTTTTGGACGACACCGTCCTCGCCCCATGAGTTTCTATCACGCGCATGCGATTAATGTCCCTTTTTTTCCACGTTGAAGAAGCCTGTCGCAATGCCACCCAGACATCTAAATGATGCCTACCGGCTTGGAGAAGCCATGAATCAGCTCGCGGAAGAGCTCGCCTAGGTGCGACGGGGAAGTAATACTTTTAAGCAGCATGCGATGTATCGGCGACATGGTAATGTCTGCGTCATGATGTACCTGCCAATCATACTCTGATTGTCGCAGTCTTGGTAGTCACGTCCACAGGAACCGTAGCTACTACGCTCAAAGCGTCTTCTATGGCCCAGGCACAGACCCATCGCGACCTTTCACGTTGTACGTCGCACACCGACCCTACAAACGCACGCCCTCCCTATTCCTAATGTACCTTGCTTTATCATCGCGCAGGGCCGACACGATCTCCTATCTGGACCCTAATGAGTAGCTCGTTCTTTCAGTTACCGCTGCCTACAGCTCCTTCTATCTTACACCAGGCCCAAAGGCAAGATGCTGCTCTGGACGTCCTCAACACATGCACCCTTCCGCAGCTATTGGATCTCGATGACAGGCCCACATTCATGCTCAACATGGACGAATATTCGACGGGATGTCGAAATCCGATACGCCCCATTTTCTGCAATGCGGCACTTCGTGAGCAACACCAACTACTGGAGAAGGTAATTGGCACTTCACCAACCGATCGCGACTCGGTGGATGGTAGTGCAACGCATGACGAGTTTCGAATATGGGCGACAATCCTCAGCAGATTCAACGATTCCAGGGACATGTTTCCGATTACCATCGAGTTCGAGAACTTGTTGTGGTTTGGTGTTTCGATCCATCCCAATTGGCGACTGATTAGCGCACACAAGCTGTTCCAGAATGAAGATGTTCCCGAAGGGGACCCGCTGTGTGCATCAGCGCCGCGACTCGAGAAAGAAGGACACAGCGATCTCACTGCCGACGCAGCGAAGCGTTTAGCTTCCGCAGAGGCAATACCGACGCGGGAGATTATTGAAGATGTGCAACAACCCAAGTTCCCGTTTGTTTCCCTCGGCCAGGACCGTGACAAGAATAGCAAGTCGAGCATCTCAGCGATCACTCTGTCTACGCCTGACTCGTCTGTACCTGACTGGACAGTACCGCACCCCAGAGGTGTTCTCTCGGATCATCTACAGTTTATACGGGGCATCGACTGGGCAAATACACCATTAGGAGCTATGAACAGATGGTCGATCCAGTTCCGAGAGATCGTCTGTTTGGTCATGCGCAACCCTCACCCGTCTTCTGTCTTTTGGGGCGAGGACCTGACCATGCTTTACAACGAGGCCTATCGAGACGACGTGACGGGCGATAAACATCCGGCTTTGATGGGAACCGGTTTCTCAGGCCCTTTCGGTGAAATGTGGCATGCGGTTGGTCCTGTAATTCGCGAATGTGCTCGGACAGGCCATGCGCAGCTAAACCACAACCAGCCGCTACCCATCATGCGTTACGGTTACATGGAAGAGTCTTTCTTTACTTGGTCTTTTGTCAGTATTGATGCCCTCAATTTGGCCCCATGAATACATCTAACACATGGACAGGTTCCGGTCTTTGGTGGAACAGAGCGGGTCTTGGGGTGTGAGTAACACTGCGAAACGTTGCCCTACCGCCTATCAGCGAGACTCAGTGGGCTTGAGCCAAAGATACTGGAACTGCTGACTGAGATGCGAACTGTAGTCTATCTCAATGCTTTTGATACCACGGTTGAGTCGATCAGCAGTAGAAGAATGTGGTTACTGCGATCCCTCGGGGAGCGTATGAACGCCACACGTACTGTCAGTAAGTGAATGTGGACGATCCTTCATGTGAGACTGACGCTAACCGCGCACCCACATTTCAGAAGAATTCTGGATAAGAGTGCTGGAAGGCCTGAATCACAACGAATACGACGTACCCTTTGCGCTTCTATATACCGTTACCGAGGCAGACGACATTGAGAATGGTTCCTCGCATTCAGATGCAACTCCAACGTCTGTCAAGTCATGCGTGTTCGAAGGATCTATCGGCGTGCCGAGAGGGCATGAAGTGTCTCCCGACAAATTCAGCTTCAAGAACTACGATGGTATCTTGACACCTGCTTTTCGAGCAGCTACGCAGACCCTGGAGCCTAGGATGTTGAGCATCAAAGACCATACGCTTCCACAGCCACTGTTAGACATCATCGAATGGCGCGGCTACAAGGATCCTTGTAGAGAGGCAATAGTTCTACCTCTACGGCCAACCAATGCAGACAACGTGTGTGCCTTGTTACTAATAGGCATCAATCCACGAAGGGCTTATGATCATGAGTACAGGTCTTTCATCGCCATGCTCAATAGACAGATCGCCACGTCGTTGGCGTCAGTACTACTTTTCGAAGGTGAAGTGCGGCAAAGCAAAGAAGTCGCGGAGATGGCTACCCTACAAAGAGAACAGATGTCTCGACAGCTCCAACTTCAGACCGGACGAATGCGCCGAATGACCGAACTATCGCCCATGGGCATGTATCTATTCAATCCGGATGGACTTTTATTGGAGGCGAACGAGAAATACTACGAGATGACAGGTGTCTCACCTACAGGAACCAAACTACCTTGGACTATTGAGATGATGGTGGGTGAGAGCAGGCAAGTGGCACAAGACATGTGGAACTGTACGCGATATTGCCATGCCAGTCGCATGTTTCAAGCGCTAACCACGAAGTTTAACATCCAGATATGATAACTCACCATAAGCCAGCAAGTCGTGAGCTACAATTCGCCAATTCGACATTCCAGCCCCGAGATATCGACGGTTCACTAATCGAATATTGGGTCCTCTCTGCTAGTCAGCCAGAGCTAAGCCCCGATGGTGAGCTGATCAGCATCATGGGCTCGCTCACGGACATTTCGCATTTGAAGTGGGCGCAGGGTCTGCAAGAACGAAGACTACGGGAGGCAGAAGAGGCGAAGCGTCAACAAACCGAATTCATCGACATCACGTCGCACGAGATGAGAAGTAGCGATATCCCTCCCTATGCAGATTGCATTCGAAATGTCTACTGACGCGTTTATCAACATCTAGACCCGCTTTCCGCGATCTTGATATGTGCCGACGATATCAAAGATACTCTGACGCACTATAAATTCTCATGCACTGGCGATCGAAAGATGGCCCAGGACTGTATCGAGGCTGCTGAAAACATCGCTCTTTGTGTTCAGCATCAAAAGTCGATCGTCGACGATATTCTCACGGTCTCAAAGCTGGACTCGAATCTTCTCCGCATCACTCCGATTCCAGCGCAGCCTATCATCGTTGTACAGCGGTCTATGGCAATGTTGGTAGCCTGTAGTCGAATATATAGGGAGCTGGGCTGACATCATCCTAACAGGTTCCGTCCTGAAATACAAGCCAAGAACATCGACTTCAAGTTCGTTCCGCATCAGAGTATCCGAGACCTCGAAATTGACTGGGTCATTCTTGATCCAAGTCGACTCCTTCAAATCATCGTCAACCTTATTACCAATGCCATCAAGTTCACTATGGACGCACCAGTTCGCTCGATCACAGTTCATGTCTGTGCTCATGCGGAATCGCCAGACTTTGGCGTACCAGAAGGATTCCAATGTAAGTAGCTGCATTAGTCGAACATCCTGAAGGTGAAGCGCTAATTCTATGCGCCCGCCGTTAGTTGTTCCGCCAAGACAAATCGTGAGCGAATTCGGAAACGGCGAAGGTTGGGGCTCAGGCTCTTTCGTCTATCTTCGGTTCAATGTCCAGGACACTGGATGCGGTTTGTCGCCTCAGCAGATATCGCTGCTATTTGAGAAGTTTGCGCAAGCTGTGAGCCAGCCCCGAACAACTGCAAAAACTAGGCTGACAGAGTTCTCAATGTGAAGTCTCCACGGACGCATATGCAGTACGGCGGTAGCGGTCTCGGACTCTTCATCTCGCGCCAACTTGCCGAGCTTCACGGCGGTCAAATCGGCGTCTCGTCACAAGCTGGCGTCGGCAGTACTTTCGGGTTCTACTTGAAATGCAAACGCATGATTGCAAAAAAGCCTACGATCTCAACGGATACAGTGAAATACGCTCTAGACGCCGAACACGCGGCATCTTCGCGCAAAATCAGCGCCGCAGCTGCGAACCAGAACTCCACCGCGCCCGCTGCCATACCTAAGGAAGTTGAGACCCCGGTACAAGCACAGATTCCCCGGCCCACGGACGACAAGAAAGACGAAGAGGAAGATGATCGACTTCACGTTCTTGTCGTCGAAGACAATCTAGTCAACCAAAAGGTACTAGTGAAACAGCTCACAAAAACTGGCTGCGTCACACATACCGCCGATAACGGCGTCTGGGCATTGAAGCACCTCGCGAAAACGAAATTCTGCGTTGCTAATGGCATGCCACTCACCATCATCCTTATGGACTGCGAGATGCCGGAGATGGACGGCCTCACCTGCTGCAGGAAGATACGAGAGATGGAGGAACGGAAAGAGATTACGAAGCATGTGCCAATCATTGCGGTCACCGCGAATATTCGAGGGGGGCAGATGGATGACGCAAAGGAAGCGGGTATGGATGATGTTGTTGGAAAGCCGTTCAGGATTCCGGATCTCTTGGCCAAGATGAAGGCCTTGTTGAAGAAGCTAGAGGACTAAAATGATACATCTTTCCTAATACAAATCCTTGAAGCATAGGTAGTCCTGGACAATCACCGTCAACCTTATATCTCATACTACAAGGTCTTTGAAGTGGGACGAGGTCGTATCCAGTCAGTAGACCAATACCATCGCCAACAAAATTTTCGATGCTGGCTGTGGTGGCGCTGAGTATGGCGACACGCCTAATACTCAGAACATCTTCACCAGTTATCGACAAACTTGGCAAACGTCGAGGCCATATAAACCACCCATGTTGTTCCCGCCGTACGACTTCGGTCGAGGTCGTCCAAAGATGCTTTAAGTTTGCAAATACCCCGAGAGACTCGATCAAGCGGCTTTCATAGCCTCAAATCGATCTTCTTCTTGATTCATGTAAACTCAAACTACCAGAAACATGTGTTGAAGACCTCTCGCAGACATTAAAAAAGGACAGTCGGGTAAACTTTATGCATCTGGACTCCCCAGACGAAGAAACAGCGATCATACATTGCAAACCCATCCATTTTGGACACTCGGCCCAAACACAGACATTTGCTTTCAACTGCTAGAATCTTTTTGTCGACGAACTTACGAGTTCGTCGCGATTGATGGAGAGAACAAGAAGAGGTTTGAGGACGGGAGAGGAAGTTTATAAGCACCAAGGGCGGCGCTAAGATGGCGCTAGTCAAACATAATGGTACCGACAAGATACTATTGAAGAGAGGGGCAGGTGACATTGCAGCCTGACGTTGCAATGGACGTCGCCAGCCGATAAGCAGCGTACCTACTGAGTGTTTGTCTAGTACCGAGGGAATGACATGACGGCGAAAGGAAAGAAGGGAAATCCAATCAAACGGGGAGGGAAGAAGAAAATACACCATGACAGTCTGTTACATCCACCACCGACTTACCGCGCCATCCTGTGAGCCGGTGCTCACATCCAAAACATCGTCTTGTCGAGTATCTCAGCCCATGGACCGGGGCCTCCAGTGCGAGCCTTACCCCATGCGGTGACCGCCTCAGCTAAGATGTCTTTCTCCAACTGCGCTTCCACCTTCTTCTCGTGAGCACGCTCTACTTCAATCTCAGCAGCCGACTTCCTTGGCGCGTTACGACCTGGGCGTGCAGGAACAGCAGGAAGCCCGGCCTTAGCAGTTGTCAGCTCTTGAGCCTTGTTGGTCTCAATTGCTTGCCTGCTAGCGAGGTACGCCGCGTAGTGTGCGCTATCCTTACTTGGGCTGAACCAGTCGCGAAGGTAGGCTCGGCCTCGGTCGCAGAGCCTGTCAGCATAGTACGCTGGTGGAGCGTAGGATACACCGATGGTTGCTCGAGCATAGGTGTAGCAGAGTTTGTACGTGAGCTCCTGCAATTCGCGATCTCCGTATCCGATTTCGTTGGCGATGACCATGTAATGTGTCGGAATAGCGGTCCCTTTGAGGCCGTGATGAGACTGCAGATAGAAGTCTGAGTAATGCGGCGACGTGACGACTTGATCGACAAGCGTACCAGGCATACAGTTACCGTTCTTGTGGGCTAGAGAAGTTGCTGGATAGAAGCGCGTTGCATGACGCTTTACGGCTATTACAACGGTGATCAGGGCATTGCCGCAACCGGCCTTCTTGCAAGCGTTTCTGATCTGCTGCAACTCGTCGTCGCGAACTTTGGCAAACTGTCCAGTGCTGACACCGTCCCGGTAGAAGAGAATCTTCTTTGGCGGGGCCTTGGTAGCAGACATGTAAGCTTGGATTCGCTCGAGGACCATGGCTTCCAACGAGTCAATGATCTAGTATTAGTTAGTAAAGAGCCTCGATGATGATGACTAACTTACCTCCGCCTTGCAAATTTTCTGAGGCCTCATCGAGCCGCGTAACTTTGTTGCGTGAGAGTCAACGGACCCAACAACGCTTGCAATAGAAGGGCAGCCAATGAGCGAGCCACCGCCAGGATGAGTAACATCTGCCCCAAGGACTAGGGTTCCCACCAATGTGTTGCCGATGCGAGACTTGGAGTTGTTGTCGACTTGCACCGTATGATTGCCACCTCCAAATTTGAGGTTCACTTTCATCATAACGTTGGCCATGTACTGAGTGATATCTCCTTTGCATCTTGATGTTTTGGTTTTGCGATCATATTCGAGATTTGGCGCCTGGGTGAGGCAGAGAGACTGCAAAGACTCGTAGCGGTCCGTAACGTCCTTGAACGCTGAGTAGATGGGTATGCTTCGGCTTTTGAGAAGTAAGACTGCGAAGTCAACTTGAGGGTGGTCCGTCTTTATGGCCTTGATAGTAGCTCTCATGCCATCTCGGATATCTTTGTCAGTCATGTCGCGCATGCCAGGGATTCTTCGAGAAGCGAGCCGAGTCGCGCCAGCGCATACGTTGTACTGCGTAAGCAAATCGCTCAGAGCTTCCTCATATGTCTTGATTGTGTTTTCCTCATCTTGCATGCCAGATTCCACCAAGATCAGATAGTTGATTCGTTTCTTGGGTGTCGATATGGCTGCTGGGGAGTCGACAAAGCTCTTTAGTTTCTCAAGATTCCACTGCGCGTTCGTACCCAGTTTTGTATTGGGAGTGTTTGCACCGTAGATGATCTCCAGTGAAGGCATCTTCGCTGAGGGGATCTGCATCATCGTAGGCGTGACGAGTAACCTATCACACCCCGGCTAGAAGTGGTCAAGGTTAGCTAGTATATCAACGTGTTGAGATTCGAAGGACTTACTAATTCCTGCTGATTTTGGGTTGGATCAAGTCCCAGGCTAGCCATTCCTTCAATCTCAACGAGTCGTCGACTCTCTTTTGGCAGATGCGTCGCATTGTTCAGCATGCCCTCCACCAAGCTTTCTGGAAGAAGTCGTTTGTAGATCTGATACGGCATGATTCGTAGATACTCGCGGGGATAATGTACTGGATCAGCTTCCGTACCAACATTGATTGATTCCAGTTTTTCGTCGAACCCTTGTCCGAAGATGGCCTTCATATGGTCCACAACCCGTGTGCGTTTAGGATCTATGACCCACTGACCTTGATCGTTCTTCCATGTCTTTTGAAAGCTCATCTCTTTAGCATTCAGTAAGGGGCCAAGGCCAAAGAAGGTCTTGATCCGGTTCTGGGGTTTGTTGAGATGATCAACATGCTCTTGATCGGAGGCATTCGGTAAGCGATCGGGTTCAATGTAGACGCGGAGTGTCCCGAGTAGCCGCATTCGTTCGTCGTAGGGAAAGGTAGTGTCCGCCAGGAATTCGCCAACGGTGATAGGACGAAAGAATGCACTGGTCGCTGCGTTGACGTTCAACAGAACCTTCTGCATACCGGGCTTGATTGTGTAGTAATAACCTCGAATTGTGCACAATGACTGTAGATTAGCATTGCCGCCAAGACGTTCGGAGCCACATTTGACGAAGAACTTGTTACTCGACTGTTGGAATGCGTTGGCAGTCAAGCTCTTCGTAACAGCGATGTTCAGTGCGTTGACGATAGGACTGAAGTTGAAGTCTGGGTCACTCTTCTCGCTGCTAGCGTCGATGTAAGCATACATTCCGTCCAGATCGAGTTCACGATGGAATTTGATGAACAGCTGAATCTTCTCGCTTCCGTCGGCGATAGCATCTGGCATCCACACAGAACCGGCATGAGTATTTGGATCTCCTAGGATGACCGGGGCGTAGGTAATCGCTTCGTGGATGTTCTTCCAGGCCACGATGGTCTTCACACGATCCGTAGCGTAGTACTGCTTGTTGTCCTTGAGGATGGGCCATGCTTGCTCAATGGTCTTGAAGATAAACTTGGCTTTACGTTTGGATTTGCCGGCAGGGATTTTGAGGATTTCGTAAAGGAAGAATCTAGTGTCGGACTTGAAGTTCACTTCGAAATGATTAGTGAAAATGTCGGCGTATGACTGCGCAAACTCCTTCCTGAGCGGAAACTGGGCTGTTTTTGCTTTGCTGACGACAGTATCGGGGGTAAAATTGTTGCTTGGGCCAAGCAGGGCTGTCTGTGATAGAGCAACTGAGTTGGCTGCATGTGTCTCTACAGGCTCTGTTTCGGTGATGTCGCGGACCTTGCTGAGACCGTCGACAGATTTGCCAGCGCCCTCAAGAATAGGGTTCAGAACGAGATTATCTGAGTCCGTTGCAATACGAGCTTGGGTCTCTGGGTCAACCGGTGCAGAAACTTGAGCGTCAGGTATGGGTTCTGAAGGTTTCTCCAAGGGCTTCTCGGTCTTGCAATAATTGAGGATAGTTAGTCGAGCCTGGTTAGCTTTCAACGCACCATAGATCTTGGTGAGTGGCGATTGCGTATTTGTGGGATCCTTGCGTCTGAGACATTCCTCTTCTTCATCCCATGCATTATGACCGCTGATACCGCAAATGATACAAGGATTGTCGCTCATATGCTTGAGGAGTGAATTTTTGGTGAGTTTCTCAGGTCCGCTCATGGTCGAAAGAAATGCTGGATGATCTGACTTGGAATGAGAGGAAAGTAATGCGTACCAATCAGGTAAAACTCGATACCGGAAGTCTTGATAGGTAACGAAGATAAGAAGAAGAAGAAGTTAGAACATTGTGCTTATGTAGTATTCCTGGGGGCTTTCCTACTTGCCCGCACAATTGTTCGACTGCTTGCATAGACGTTGACAAGAATTGCCCTGAGGTTAATTGCTAGGAAGAAAACCATTCTTGCCCCTTGGACTGGGCATCTCGTACATCTGAGTCTCGCACACGGGACAAAAAGCCCACAATAAGCTTGTCTGTACGCAATGGAAAACGTTTGTAGACGACGACAATCCACCGCCCGCCCAGTTGGATGCCCTTTCGCCGTCCCTACAGGCGCTTGTTGATGATCAGGCTGTGTAGTGACTGACAGGCATTATGTGCGCAAAACAGGAGTCTCGTAAAGCTGTATTGACATCGAAACGAGAAGCTTTCGCGTGAATAGTGATTGCAGCCCTCGAAGTGCGTCCATCACCACATGGCGGAACGATCGGTTTTGCGGCGCAGTCCGGTGTCACGTTCTGCGGTCGATAACGTTATTAGTACTCTGTCAATGAGCTACACGCCCATATCAAGAATTGAGCCTTTGATATAGAGCTTGGCAGGTGTTGATTTCGCGGCGGGACGATGCAGGTGTTGTATTGAGAGTCTCATCTCATCTTGCCACGGCGGCCAGTTGAAGGGGAGCCCAGGCGCCCTCACGTGCTAGCGCATTTTACGCGACGCGTCAAACCATCCTTCATGTCCACCTTGCCGTCCAGACCACTCTACACCACAATACGCAGCACCATCTCCGCCCGTCACACACAAGCACCTAGCAAAGCTACATTACATCGGTGCTACACCCAGCGCCCACAGATTATCTCCGCAGAAGATCTCAAAAAAAAGCTAGCTTCACAATGGACCACCCACAAACCCCCCGCATCCTCGCCCCACACCTATCAAACTTCCAACACCGCATCGTGCGCATGCTAGGCAAAGTCGTACAACTGCGCGGCGAGACAGCAGTCATCGATGCAGGAGGCAACGTTGATGTTATTCTGAACAGGGTAAGCCTCTTCGTCTACGCCCGTGTTCATGTCTTCCAAGCATCTTGGAATAAGAGCCAATTGATACACAAAAGCTAACAAAAGCGAACTAGGACTCACACCTCGCCGTCGGCCACGCAGTAGAGATCATCGGCAAAGTAGACCAGAATCTACATGTCAAGGTACAAGCTGCTACGGACTTTGGGACAAACATCGGTATGTGCCCTCCCTTATGACGTAGGTTTCATGTTAACGCAAGAGCAGACTTCAATGCCGCAAATGCTGTTGTGGATGCTACACATCGGTACAAGGAGATCTTCTACGACGACAACTAAACACCGACTATTGGGAGGCGTTTGAGGGTGAAATGATGGGACCGACCCGGCATCATGCATTTTCAAGCTGGAAACGAAGATCATGGTCAAGTTTATATGTATCTGCAAACCAATCGTAAAAAGCCAATTCGCTATGTGTTCTACGCCCCATGTATGGTATCTTCCCGCCACGTAAATTGAGCGCCTCGTGAACGCCTACCGAAACCAGAGAACGCTCGCATATTCATACAGTTACATTAAACATTGCCGTCTCGATCAGGTGCTCAGAGCTTACTTCGCACTCCCTCGAGTCTAAACTTGACGTCTTTGAGTTGTTTCCCAGTTGGCTTCCACGCCTCAAACATGCCCAGCAATTTCTCGACTTCATCCCCAAGTTCTTTCTTGACGAAGTCTTCTTCTAGCAACCCTCTCATCGCCCAAGGTAAGAAGTAAGGGTTCGGGTTTGTTGTGGTGGCAGATGGCTCGTAGTGGTTCACCCGAAGCTTGAACACGTCCTCCTTCTTACTGTTACTCGCGAGCTTCTCACCAATAATGGGGATGTTGATGCCCTGGAAACTGCCCGCGGTGTTCGGTCGCTCTTTGGTCGTTGTTGGTGTCGGTAGGGATGTTGTTTCGAGGGCGTGTTGGACGGCTAGCGAATAGATGGCAGGGTCTTCGTAGACGCGGGAGTGGCCTTCGCCGCCATAAAGGGAGCCTGCGAGGGCGGGGGAGAGTTCGCGAATGAGGCCGTGATCGGGGAGACCCAGATTGCGTAGCTTCAGCGCGAAGCCAACGAGGTGGGTTAGGAAGTCTGGCGCATGGATGCGGCCATCGACGAAGACGGCGCGGTAGATGTAGGGATGCGATAGCGTTGAGAAGGTTGATGACTGACTTGTGTTAGCAGGGCATAAGTAGTTCGATTCGAGGAGTCTGCTTACTTCGAGAGAGACCAGCTGGTCATCGATACTACCAACGTACAGTATACGCACACCAAATCGAAGCACTTCGTCTAGAGCTGCGAGATACATCTGGCTAACAAGACTCTTAGGGTTGGAGAACTCAAACAACTCGGCAGCCGTAGGGCCAAAGTACTTCGTCTTGTACTCGATGAATGGGCCCATGTTGACACCGGCCATGGCGCATACTCCGATTCTTGTTGCGTTGACACACCCGAACTGTATGAGCTTCGCGACAAGCATCATAGCTACCGGCACACCCTGCGAGTGGCAGGCGACCAAGATGAAGTCGGCTTGCTTCAGGTGGTCGATCCAGTTTAGCAAGAGCTTCCATAAGGAGTTGACGCGCTCAGCGATGAAGCCCTCGCCTTCTAATGCTATCTGCTCAATCTCTGGACTGTATCCTCGCGCTTCAGACCAGTCCTTGATCGCAGCCGCCGCTGCATTCGCGAAGCGTATTGATGTACCTGTCGGCTGCCCCAGCACCTTTTGAATGATGGGCGCAGGGAAGAAGCCATGAACGCCAATCGCTACAGCCTTCCTGATCTTCGGTGGTGCCGGGTTGATGTGTAGATGAGGGGTCGCAGGCTCGCCTCCGAGGAAGTATCGCCGGATCTGCTTCCAGAAGTTTGGTTGCTGGACCATTTGGTAGGTGGTCCTGAACTCTGGTAGCAGGAGGTTCGCCGGTCCTTGTTTGGCCTTCGCTGCCTGCTTGAGCGCTTGCTCAGCAGCAGTTCCTGTCTCGGGTTTCGCGTCGGGCTTCGTCTCGGGTTTCGTAGGCTCGAGCACTGGTGAGGCCTTCGTCGGCGTAGCGGGCTTACTTGACGAGGGAGTATCTGCTGGCGTGTCTTTAGCGGGAGGCTTTGTCTTCGGTCGCCCTCGTAACGATGCAAATGATTTCTTATTCACCGGTTCCTCTTTCGGTGGCTGCTGTGGTTCTTTGGGTGTCTCTGTGTCTGTTTTGGGCTGCTCTTGCTCGTTGAACTGCGCCGCTTCTGGGTTCGACTGTGAAGGGGTATCGAACACTGCGACCTCGCCGACATGTTTCTGCGGTCCAGCCTCTCCTGGCTTCTTTTCGTCTTCTGGCTTGCCCCTATACCAAAACGCCCATGCAGAAGTCTTTGAGGATCCCGCAGTACTCTTCTGAGGAGCTTCAATAGGCACATCGAAGGCTGTGGGTGGTGGTGTCTCTTGAGGGCCAGTGGGTTCGATCTCGGCAGGTGCTTCGGGAAGAGTCTGTGGTTCGGTATCGACTTTGGCTGAGTCGTTATTTTCGGTGGGAGGCTCGGCTGGAGGTGGATTCGCCTGCGCATTCTGCGCACTACTCCACGTCCAAAACCAAGAGCCAGATGCAGCTCTCGCCAGGACTTTGGCAGTTGTAGATGCTATAGCCCTCGACTCTGTATATGGACGAGGTACCGCTTCTTTCGGCATATCCTTCCCATTTGCATCTGCAACCTGATCGGTGTAGGGTTGGATAGTGCCAGCATCTAGGCCCTTCGTTTGCGCATCTGGCTCTTCTGAGGGCGTCGGTCCAGGAAGTGGCGTGGTGGAAGCCTCGTCAACGCTCGAATGTGCCTCGCTTTTGACTTTTGCTGGGTCTGCGTACCCATCGGGGCGTGACCACCAAGATTTCCATCCCCATGCACTAGCAGCTGCATCCACTTGTGATTTGGGCGGTTCGGGAGGCAATGGCGGCTCGGATACTTGGGGCGCTGGCGTCTCTTCGACGTCTTGTGGCTGTGGCTTTGGCTTTGGAGCTTCGTCGAGGAGACCGTCTGAGGATACGTTGACCTGAGTGATGGAGGCGGGTATGGCATCGCCCTTGCTCGACTTGCGCTTGGTGAGGAACTTCTTGGGAGACTCATCTCTCGATTTCTTCGCTTCCTCGTCGGGCAGTTCGCCTGTCGCGCCCCCGCTGACTCCGATGCTTTCCTTCGCGGTCTGGACTATGGCAGGCGCTTTCGACCGCCAACTGCCCGTGCCCGAAAGCCACCTCTTGCCTCGCGGTGTCTGTGTCCCGGAGGCTGTCGGTGTTGTGGCCCCAACTGAAGTCGTTGACGCTGCTACCGACTGGCCCGAGGGTGCATCTGGTAGGATGTCACTACTGCTGGGGGTAGTGCCGGTCGTACTTGCATCCTGTGGGACTGCTGGGGCCTTGGTGGTTGCGTCGGAGGGAGCCTCGGGGTTTGGCTTGGACTTCTTGCGTGGGTTCATTCCGGCAGGGAGGGTGAAGGAGCTGAGAAGGTGATGCGACCGCTGGAGCAAGCATCAGCACGGGCAAGACACGTGAAGTTGGCAGCATACCTTCATCCCGAGGTGGACCAGGCGCGTCGTGCTGAACCAGCAATGACGCATGTGGGCCCATCCCGTGCACTAGTCACGGATTAGCGTACCCTGATAGCGTGGATTCTGCCACCGCCTAGCGATATTGCCGGGCTTCCCAAATTTTGTAGCGCGAACTTTTGCCCGCCGTACCACGACGCCAAACCGCAGCAATGGCGATCCAAAAGAAGGTGCGCAAGTACAGAATTAATACTGGTGATAGTGACTAATCCCCAAAAGCACGGAAAAGGTCGTCTTGACAAATGGTACAAGCTCGCCAAGGAGAAGGGCTATCGTGCGCGTGCCGCCTTCAAGTTGATCCAGCTGAACAAGAAGTACAACTTCCTCGAGAAGAGTAAAGTCTTGATTGATCTTTGCGCTGCGCCCGGATCATGGTGTCAGGTCGCTTCCGAGGTATGTCGCCATTCTGTACACAATGCGCCTCCATGCTAAAAACCACAGGTTATGCCCGCGCATTCCCTCATCGTCGGTGTCGATCTCGCCCCAATCAAGCCCATCCCGCGATGCATCACCTTCCAGAGCGACATTACCACGGACAAGTGCCGAGCGACGCTGCGCCAACATCTTAAGCATCTCAAGTGCGACACTGTCCTCCACGATGGTGCGCCCAACGTCGGAACTGCCTGGGTGCAGGATGCTTTCACCCAAGCAGAACTCGTTCTGCAATCTATGAAGCTGGCTACAGAGTTCTTGGTCGAAGGAGGAACCTTTGTCACCAAGATTTTCAGATCCAAGGATTACAACTCACTCCTCTGGGTGTTTAACCAGCTATTCACCAAGGTCGAAGCAACCAAGCCCCCGTCCTCCCGAAACGTCTCCGCCGAAATTTTCGTCGTCTGCCGCGGTTACAAAGCCCCGAAGCACCTCGATCCCAAGTTTCTCGACGCCCGCAGTGTCTTCGCCGAACTCTCAGACCCTACCCCGAACAACGAAGCCAAGGTTTTCAAGCCTGAGGTCAAGAAGAGGAAGCGTGAGGGTTACGAGGAGGGCGACTGGACACAGTTCAAGGAGGTGCCTGTCTCTGACTTCATCCAAACGACCGATCCCATCGCCATGTTGGGTGGTTTGAACAAGCTCAGCTTCGAACAGAAGCCGAACGGCGACATCGCTGTCGCGACCATCGACAAGCTTCCGGAGACCACAAAGGAAATCAGGGACTGCTGTGCCGATCTAAAGGTCTTGGGTCGCGCTGACTTCAAGCGCCTTCTGCGCTGGCGTCTGAGGGTGCGCGAGATCTTCGGTTTCGCGACCAAGAAGACGAAGGCTCAAGAGGAAGCCAAGGCCAAAGAAGCGCAAGAAGGCGATGAGGTCGCTGAGATCGAGTCGATGGACGAAGAGATGCAGATTCAAGAGGAGCTGGAGCGACTGAAGGAGAAAGACTCCAAGTCAAGAAAGAAGCAGCGCCGAGCTGAGAACGAGCGGAAGCAAAAAGAGATCACTCGTCTACAAATGAACATGGCTACACCTTTCGAGATTGGTCTGGAACAGGCCGGACCAACTGGTGAAGATTCCATGTTCGGCCTCAAGGCAGTCGACAAGGCCGGTGCTCTGAACAGGATCGCCAAGGGTAAGATGGCGCAAGTCATTGAACGCGAACAGCCAGAGGAAGAAGAGGAGGAACCGGAGACTGACGACGAAGAGGATCGTCTTGAACGAGACCTTGACAACATGTACGGCGAATACGTCGAACAGAGATCAGCGCGAGACGCCAAGTACAGAGCAAAGCGTGCGAGAAAACAGGACGATGATGGAGAGTGGAATGGTTTCTCTGACGGAGAAAAGGAACAAAGTGACGACGAAGAGCTTGTACAGTCCGACAGCGATTGGAGCGATGACGAGGAAGAAGGCCCTAAGAACCTCATCACCGACCTCGACAACGAAGAGCAGCCCAAGACAGGTCTCACCAAGCGCGCAGCACGGTTCTTCGACCAGGACATCTTCAAGGGCATCGATGGGCTTGAGGATCTGGAAGAAGAAGACGATGACAGTGGCATCGACGTTGAAGGCGACACCGAGATGAAGGACGAATCTGCCACACCCGCGCCAGCTACTGAGAAGGAACTGAGCATAAGAACGGCTACCAAGGTTGCCTCACCCTCAGCATTCGACGAGGAATCCTCGGATGATGACGACAAGATCGAAGAAGTCAAGCGCGATGAAGATCAATGGGAGCAAGACAGCATGCCCATGAAGAACGGCAGGCCAGACATCGACATCATCACCGCCGAGGCCATGACCCTCGCTCACCAAATGGCCACAGGCCAGAAAACAAAGTACGACCTCCTCGACGAATCCTTCAACCGCTACTCCCTCCGCGACGTCGACGGCCTACCAGACTGGTTCCTCGACGACGAAAACAAGCACTCCAAACTCCAACGCCCCACCACCGCCGCCGCAGCCTCCGCCATCAAGGAGAAACTGCGCGCCCTAAACGCACGACCCATCAAGAAGGTCCGCGAAGCGCAAGCCCGCAAGAAGTTCAAGGCCGCCCAGCGCATGGAGAAGCTGAAGAAGAAGTCTGCGCTCCTCGCCGACGAGGAGGGTATGACGGAGAAGGAAAAGGCACAGAGTATTGCACGCTTGATGTCGAGGGCTGCCAAGAAGAAGCCCAAGCAGAAGGTCAGCGTTATTGTGGCTAGGGGTGGTAACAAGGGTATCAAGACTAGGCCCAAGGGTACGAAGGGTAAGTATAAGATGGTGGATGCTAGGTTGAAGAAGGATGTGCGGGGTGAGAAGAGGGCGGCTAAGAGGAATAAGAAGAGGTGAAGTGGTGCGTATGTATGAATTGTTAGGTCTGCATCATAGGGCGCGACTTGGACTTTCTTTTTGATTATAGCAACGAAGAAATGGTATGGACTGATATGTCCTGTCAATATGGTGCTACATATGGCGTGATGACTGCAGGAAAAGCCACTTCGCCAGGTATGCGATCAGTGCAACACCGCTAAATATCAAAGGCATGCACATTGAATCACGAGGATAAAAGTCTTCGTGGACTGCCTTAGCAGGAAAAGAGTTCATTTCATTTCATTTCATTTCTTTGAGAACTTGACATCCATGCTACCTGTGAAGCTCGAAGATCTGCCTACTCAGGCATCAACGACCTCCTTCATAACAGCCTGATCGCCCTTCTCATCACCCCTACCATGCATTTTCCTCGCCACCTCATCGGTAAGATACTGCTCTACATTCGGCGACAGCACCGCCGCAATAATGAGCAGCACGCCAAACGGAAGTGTGCAGAGATACACCGTGCGGAAAGAAAGTGCATACGCACTCTTGACAGCCTGCCCCGTTGCTGCGATGATCTCAGGTGAGATACCAGGTACAGCACTGAAGTCACCAGCCGTGATACTAGTGAACAGCGCCGGAAGAGACGTTTCGGGAAGACCAGCCGCGAGCGCAGCAGGCATAACCTTTTGTGGTATATACTTTGCAGACTCGGTCGCGAGAATGGAAGAGTACATGCTTGTGGCAATGGCAGAGAGACCTGTTCGGATAGCGCCCATGACACCAGTGACGAGACCGATGTCAGCGGGGTCCCAGAGGTACGCTGTGCTGGATAGAGTGAGGTTCTCGATGTAGCCTGCGGCGATGGTGCCGATGAGGAGCAGGGCGGTTGTGCGTTGTTCTGTTGTTTCGTCCGAGGCGGCGACCGCGGCGACGAAAGCGGTGGTTATGACGGCTGCGACAGTCATTTGGATCTTCATGCGTGGGAGGTAGCGGACTCCGGCGCCTCCAAGGATCTGGCCGAGGAGAAGTCCTCCACCAACGGCGCACTGTGTTTGTTAGAACAAGATTATCAGGATGGTATGATTTTTGGAAGACTTACCGAGAGCCATCCAATCTTGGTGATGTCTGTGGTAAAGAGCGAGGAGACCATGGTAGGCCAGATGATCGAGTTTGCGTAGTAAACAATGGCTGCCAGACTAGCACAGGCGACATTGGCATCGTACTCGATGTTCCTGAACAGACGTAGAGGAATAAGGGGATATTCCAGTCCTGGGGCGTAGGCCTCCCAGAAACAGAAAGCAACCAGAGTGGCAAAGCCAGCGAACAGTGCTCCCAGTACGTGGCCGCTCTTCCATGGGTATGCAGAGCCGCCCCAGTTCATACCAATGAGGAAGACGACGAGACCAGTTGAGAACAAGAAGATACCCATCCAGTCAAGGGTTTTGAGTTGTTTGAGTTTCGATTTGCCGCCAACGTGAAGCATTTCCTGCGTTTGTTAGTCGGGTTTGTCTTGGCTGAAGTGGGCTTCCTTACGTATGTTGGGGGGAAGTAGAAGAAGAAGTATAGAACAATTGCCAGTACGTTGACAATGCATCCGAGGATATAGCACCACCTCCATTGCAGCTCGGTAGTCTGGTAGAGCGATCGTGCTACTGGCGGACCAAAGACGGCGAATGGCACTGACGTTGACAGCACGAAAGCATTCACAGGACCTCTCAAAGAGTTTGGAACAAGTTCGCCAAGGATGATGTGGAATGAAAGTTGGCCAGCTGCGGCAAGACCATTGATGGAGTTTGTTGCCTGGAACAGTCAGTATCATTCGTAGGCTGTAATCAGTCGAACATACAATCAGCATGTTAATGCTCTGTGCACTCGCGCCAATGATGTTTCCAACAAGACCGAGTATTGACGAGCAGATGAAGAACCATCTACGACCGAAGATATCCGACAGGCGACCGACAAGTGTGAAGCCGATGGCGAATCCAGCTGTCCAGGAAATACCGACCCAGATGATGTCTGGGGACGGTCCGATGGCCGCGTTGATGAGGCTCAATGTGTTTGCGGGGAGAACCCATCCTAGGTAGCTGGAAACTTTTAGTACCTTCACCTCCAGTAATTAATGGAAGCACCTACCCAGAGATTTGCGCTAGACATGTAGCCACGACAGTGCCGATGAAGTTGATGCTTGTGAAGTATGACTTGCCCAAATCAGCGGTATGGCCACCAAGGGCTTC